AACGGTCCGGTTTTTGTAAAAAAGTCGGTAATACCAGATTTTCGCCACTTGGGGGCGCAATTGACTCATTTAAAAATAAAAAACGATCTTAGGACAACAGAGTGACAGTAACAAGTTGTTCCTTTTATTCCTTACAAATAAATATTGCAGCTTACTCAATCAGTACAAACAAGGGTTGCCTCCTTCGTCTGGCTCAAAGCCAAAGTGTTGTGATAGTGGCGCATTCCTTGATTTCGTCGAGACTAAATTGTCCGCCATTATCGACTCCCCGTCACTATTAAACAAACTCCAAGCTACAGTAGAGTCGCATGCGCACTCGCACCTCCTAGCTCAGTCCCCGCCCCACCCCCCTCTCTCCCCTGCTTGCTGTGCGCTTGGTGAAGAGGCAGGCACAGGTGCTCACAGACTCGGGCTTACTATAAGCGGAGCGGACTACGTGTAAAAATGTCAGTGAAAAATCCCCGCGATGTGAAAAATACATGCCGAACAGTCTTTTGTGTGACACTGGTGCGCGGAGCGAAGTCCGCACAGTCGTACTTAGCGCGCACAGGGCTTGCGGACGTCCACTTTTACCGGGCGGACCTCCGCAGCGTCCGCTCTGCATACGTTCTGCCCGAGTATGTGGTTCGGTCGGTCTCAAAAAATAAAACCCGGTCCAAGACGGAGTACCGGACCGAATTGGTATTACCGAGAACCGACCCAACCCTACTCACAGCAGACAAACCTGAACCAGAGAAGTTGGAGGTACCAACTTACGGTTTGCAATTAACTTTCCAGCAACAAGGAGAACCAAGTTGAGTTAGCACCCCAACGTCTAACTCTGCCAGGACCCTGAGCGACTGGCTTCCTACCTTCGGAACAAGGACACAACAAAGACTGCTTCTGGAACCACAGCTCTTTCAAGCCTTCCTCTGCTGGCTAACAAAGCAGCACACCACAAAGCGATTCTTTCTTCCATCCATTTAAGGATCGGTAATGTAACAACTGGGGATAGCTTTATCACAGCTGTACAGGCTAAACAAGACTGTTTAACTTGTTGAATGTGATTAAATGCTGTTTACCAAGTTATTGTTGTGATTGTTTGCAGTTAGGTTATTGATTAGTTGGCTTCGCCAAAGCTAAGTGATGTTAGTTTGCTAATGCTGTTCACAGACAACGTCTTGCATGCAAATAAGCATCCTCTGCACTAATCCAGACTTTATGCAACACATATCACATTCACATAGACTCATTTACAAACAGGCTTTCGACAGAGCTACATCCAAGATGCAAATCAAAGTTCCCGCTTCTTTTCTTTTGTCTTTGTCCTGACCACACGGTCAGACAAAACCTCCCCCAATCTGAAGCCAGCTTTGATTTGGCCATCTTTTTTGCTGTCTGTTTAATGTTGCACAAGAGTGAACTAATAGTCAACCTCTGCTACGTAAAGCACTGGTACTTTAATTGGAGATGTATTACGAGTTCAGGCCCGTGTTAAGGCTTAAGTCCCAACAAATGGTGCCACTGTGTAAAACATAGCACTGGTGCCACAACAAAAAGTATCCCCTCTTTTACAGTATCACTATGATAATTTACAGCATTAATGGTGCCCCTTGGTGAGGCCTAATATTGTAGTTTACTACATTATTGGTGCCTCCGTGTGATGCCCAGTATTGTTCCCAACAACGGGAAAGATGAAGAGTTCTCATTTTAAAAAATGGTATAAAACAAGTTTTTAACTGCAGTTCATTTGTGAAAGAAAGGCTACACGTAGTATTACATTGTAAATATATTCTTTCATGGTATGAAGAACTGTTTCGAAATGGCTCATATGGTTTTACATCATACATGCTGGCTGTGAACCCTTATGATGCTCTATGTAGACTTAAAAATGCCAGATACATCACTCTGAGAAGTGGTGGGTGATTTTACAATTGATTATCAAGCCTGTTGCAGTTCTGTTAGTGAGACAGGCTAGACAGGTGGAATTTTACTGTTTCATTCACTTTTCTTCAAAGCATTTTTAGCTTTTATGTTTTTGAGTGATGTTATTATCTGCCATGAAAAAAATTCAAGTCTGACAGAAAATGTGCATTCCTTTCAGTTAAATGCACAGCATCATATCATATGAAAAATATTTCTTTGTCTTTATTTCTGCTGTTTGATGAAGTGGCAAAGTCACCAACTGTCTGTTTCCAGCTCCAAAGTCTTTTAACCACAAAGCCTGCAGCTCATTATCAGCCTCTCAAAAGTCTAAGTGATTGGCTCTATGCAGAGTGTGATCTTTGTGTCACAATGCTGTGGATTACCTTAAGGGTCAGGTTATGCAAGAAAAGAACTAGCTGGTGCGAATTGTTATCTTGAGGGCATTTGTTGTTAGTTTCTCACCTCCACACAGCTGGCTAATCACCACTTGAAATGGGTGTGAAGGTCAGATTGTTGGTTTCAGACTGCGGCCTCCAACTCTGATTAAGAGTGATCCCTAGTGTTGGATTATACAGCCTCCACAATCCCCCTATGGCCACCAATGAACACTGGAGATGAACCACATTGGCTGGCTTTGAGAGTCAGACCAGTTGCATTATCAACTGGGAGGGGGCAGTATTAAATGTCCCATACTTTGGTCAATAGCTGACAGAGCACTTGTCCTACCTTCAGCCTGCTCAGAGTTACATTTCCATAATTGATTTTCTGTGATGCCCTCAAAAAACTAAACCCAATTTTGGCAGAGCTCAGCACTGGAAATAAGATGCTAAAATTGTTGCCATATTTCTTATTTAGAAACAATACAATATCTATAAAACATCTTAAGTACTGCTGATACATTTAACCACATCTCATTTTACAGCAAATTAATTTATGTTTGGTTAAAAGATACATTTGTTACATTTTATTAGTGTTGATTATACATGCAGTCAGTTGCTGTGATAAATTTCTTAGTGAGTACTATATTGACAGAGAAGGCTGAATTTTTTTGGGTTTCATTCTTGCACAGCTGTTACTGCAGTGCCTACATGTACCAAGATGCATTGCATGTGAGCTCCTGATGCTCAGCACCCAAATACTTCCCAAACCTTTCCAGCATGGGAAGGTGGGCATTTCAAACATGGCTCTGTTTACATGAAGTAAAGGCGTAATGTGCCTCCCCGTTAGACTAGAACAGATAAAACGTAAATTGAATAACACTAGTTTTAGCAGTGTCAAACATGCCTCGTTATTTAGTACCTGGATGCTATGTATTACCACCCTGGGCAATAGTTACTACTTTACTAGTCAAAGATATCATTAGTTGACAGAAATATTTACTCAGTGGTCATCTGCCCTCTCGACCCTGCTGGTCTTGGTTGTCTTTTCCAGTTCATTTTAGGGATGCTGAAGAGGGTCATTATCCCAACATCCAGTGATTACTGATGTATTCAAGCATTTTCATTCCAACTTCATTGTTTATTTTAACAGGCATAGACTCAGATATTACATACTTATAGACATGACACTCATCATCACGCTTGTTTCAGTAACTCTCTTCACCTCCCTTCTTTACCTCCATCTGCTCTTCATCGATTTTACATCTGCTTTTAACTGTATTCAGCCCCATATCTTAGCCGAGCGTCTTTTAAGCTATAATATCGATAGGGGTCTGATTTACTGGTTGTTAGATTTTTTAACTGTCAGGTCACGACTTGTGAGGGTCAATTGCGTCTTGTCTGATGCTCTCTTCTCCTCCACTGGCTCACCTCAGGGATGCGTTCTCTCGCCACTCTTATTTGTGCTATACACGAATTTATGTCAGAGTTCACATGAGAAGCGTCATATTATAAAGTCTGCCGATGATTTGGTGATTGTGTCCCCCTTAGTCAAGTCGACCCTGAGCCTCGCCCCGTAGTGGAGGAATTCATTCAGTGGTGCAAGTCGTCTTTCCTTCTCATTAATGTTTCCAAAACTAAGGAAATGATGATCGATTTTGGGAAGTCCAGTGCAGCCACCACTCCCCTGTTGATCAGCGACCAAGCTGTAGAGAGGGTCCAGCAGTACAAATACCTCGGTGCAGTGATTGACGACAGGCTGTCCTTTGAACATCAGGTCGATGCCGTGTGCAAAAAAGCCAACCAGCGCATGTACTTTTTACGCAAGCTCAGGAACTTGAACATAGACACTAGGTTCATGAGAATGTTTTATGCCTCTTTTATTGAATCTGTTCTTACATTTGCTTTTATCTGTTGGTTCGAGTCAGTCAGCTTGAAGAACTGCAACAGACTTCAGGGCATTGTCAAAGTGTGCAGTAAAGTTGCTGGTACTCCATTGACAGACATCTCTCTTTTACATAAAACTAGGTCCCTGAGGACCCCAGTCCGACCCCAGTCATCCCCTGGCATCCCAGTCATCCCCTGGCATCAGAATTCCAACTGCTCCCATCTGGACGCAGATTTTGTATGCCCAGATGTTGGACAGGCAGATTTAAAAAGTCCTGGGTTCCAGCGGCCATTGGCCTTTTAAATAATGGATGATTTTTAGCCTTTTTTTAAGCCATTTTAAGGTGTATTGCATTGGTCACTTTACCTTTTTATGTTTTTTACTATTTATTGTTATTCTCTGTTGTATTTTGTGGATTTCTTATTTGAACTCTAATTGTCGTTGTTATTTCTATTGTTCGGCTGCTTGCTGCACCACAAATTGCCCCTTGGGGACAATAAAGATATATTGAACCTTACCTTTTTAAAGTCTACTTTTTGATTCAAGCAGCAAGGTACCAGCCTTGTAACATTGTAAATACTTAAAAATCACTGTATTTGATAAGTAACTTCTACTTCTCTTTCTCTTTCCTCCTCTCCCCTTCTCTCATTTCATGTAATTAAAACAAGCCATCGTGTCTGACATCCACAACTAATTACCATGTCACTTTGCTCATTTGGCTTACTGGCACCATAGTGTGTGTGTGTGTGTGTGTGTGTGTGTGTGTGTGTGTGTGTGTGTGTGTGTGTGTCAAATTTTCTAATTGTTTTCTCTACTGTTTTCTGTCTCAGGTCTGATCACCACAACCTCCAGGAAACTGGACCGTGAACAACAAACAGAACATGTTTTAGAGGTGAGAGCATAGTCTGTGTGTGTATGTGAGTGTGCAGTTACGGGCTTGACCATTGACTGTATAAAATAATGGACGTAGCCACCGTGACGTCATGTATTAATTTGTGGACTCCCTGCATTTTGTCACCATCTTGGATTTTTTGAGCCAGAGGTGACGATATTTGTATGAGAGGGTGGAGATAACGCTAATGTTAGCTGCTAGCTTGGTTAGCATGCTTAATTGTGATAATACTAATGGTAATCCTAATTTTTGCTAGAGAAAAACAGACTTAAAAACCTCTAAAAAGAAAATTTCTTGGCGGAAAAACTGAATATCCAATGCCATACAAAGCCTTTTAGTACAACCAAACGCTGAACAAGACTTTTTTAGGCAACCAAAACGTTACAATTAACTTTGAAGAACTGAAAACACACTGAAATAGCTACAGCTATGTCTACACCTATATTCTGTGAATGTGGGGTTATGTCATGGTTCTATTACCTAAACCCCACACAGCTGTCATGAATGTTGAAATTAGCCACAGGGACTAAAACTTTTTTTTTTTGCACCAGGCTGTAAACATGTTAATTTCAGCTGTTAGGTTGGCTGAATCCCCCCCCCCCCCCCCCCCCCTCCCTTGACAAGTGTCAAAGAAGTGTTGATAATAGTGCCAAACATATTTTAAATGATAAGCAGTCCTACTTGTATTGCAAAGCATCAAAAACATGAGACATGAGATGAGAAGTGCAGATGCTCCTTTCTTTGGAAGTGAATGGGACACAGTTGGCAATGTACATGGTATGCTCAGCCTATGAATTTGTGCCCCAATCCAGAGGCTGACAGGATTCAGATGAGAACTAATCGACTCTCCCATCTTCTCTGCTCCTCTACCCTCACATACACACACACACACACACACACACACACACACACACTCACACTGTGGATGCACTGTGGACACACGGTCCCGTTTGTTCTTTGCTTTTCTCAGTGACATTTGTATTAGCTTGGTAATAGAGCTAGTGCGAAGATGGTGTGTCTATTAGACAATAATGGGAACATGTCTCTGCTCTGCTCTACCCTGATTGGAGACAAATAGCACCACTGGCTTTTACATGACATGTAGAATTTTAGTGTGTGTGAGTTGGTGCCCGCTCTCTGTATGCTGTATGTTTTGTGTGTGTGAGTGTGTGTGTGTGTGTGTGTGTGTGTGTGTGTGTGTGTGTTGGCTCTAACCAAACATGTTATATTTTGAATATGTGTTGACCGTCAAAAAATATATATGAAATCTCCTGGAAGTGTTCCCCAAGATTTCGAGGGTTCTAATATTCCACACATGTCCTGGGTAGTGCTGCATGATTAATCTAATCGCAATCGCGATGTCAGGCTGTGCGATTACATAACTGCATTAAAGGCTGCAATTTGCGATTTAAAGTAGGCTAAATAAATGTTAACGTGTGTGCCTGTTAACATGACTGCCTCTCCTGTAGTGTGTGGAGTTTGTTGACATCACGCCCACAAGCTATCCTGGTGCATGCAGCAGTGACCAACACAAACGCTGAAGAAGAGCATGAGCTCGACCATGAACAGCCTGAGTTGGTGGCGAAAAAAACGCAACATCTGTTACATGGCGATACTTTGGATTCAGGTACGGCGACATTGAACAGACGTGCTGTGTAAAAGTTTAAAAGTTAAAGTCGCCACGTCCCGCGGCAACACGACCAATCTATATCAGCACTTGAGACGGGACGTGGCGACTTTAACTTTTAAACATTTACACAGCGCGTCTTTCTGTCCAACGTTGCCGTACCTGAAAGACGTGCTGTATAAAAGTTTAAAAGTTAAAGTTGCCACGTCCCGCGGCAACACGACCAATCTATGTCAACACTTGAGACAGCACAGCACAGGGAAAAGTAGGAAGAGTGCATGCGAGAGAAAGCCGAGCCGTGTAACGTTAATGACAAAGAGACAACTGAAAGCCGCCAGAGCCTCATAAAACAACATCCAAGCACAGTTAAGCAAACATTTGTCAGTGTCACAGGGGAATCATGGACTCCATAACAAATGAAAAACTGAGCAATTTTGCTCGGTTTCGGCACACTTGACATGCTGCTGTGTTGTGCTATGGCGCTGGAATTTGTCATTTACGTGACAACGCCTGAACGCAACACAGGCTCGCTCCACTGTGTGTACAGTTCCGTGCTGCGCTGCTGCGTGAGCAGCGTGTTTGACTGTGCTCAGTCTGTTGATGGTCATTGACACACTGTCTGTCCATAACAATAACTATGTCAGGTCAGTGCCCCCCTAATATAATGTAGGGGAAACACTGAATCAAGCAAAAAGACTCATGATACCATTTATTTATTATATTGTATATTGTAATTATATTGTAATCGCAATCGCAAATCGCGATATTGTCCACCATAATCGCAATCGCACATTTTTATCAAATCGTGCAGCACTAGTCCTGGGGTTCACTAGCCTGGCGTTGCCAGACCCAATTCGCAAAATGCGAATGGGTCTGGACACGGAGTGTACATTTCCTCTATTCTAGAGAGCCACACTAGTGAACACCTGAGTTTGTGTCCCAGTTCAGGGTCTGTTTCCTTGAGGGGATGCAATTCATGAAAGTGCAGCCCTCAGAGGACTAATGCTAGTATGTCGAACCCACATCTCCTTCTCAAATGATTCTGTCTACAGATGACCAAAAAGTCATCAATAGTCCCTAGCTCTAGTGTTACAGAATTAATCACTACGACAGTGCACTGGAATAGACAAAAAGTGGTAAGTTTGATGATGAAATTTTACATTAAAACATGATGAACAATTTGCATGAGGTTAATGGTAAATGATGACCTCCATCTATAATGTGTGTAAATTGTGCAGTAACATATTTAGCAGCAATTGATGACCCCCTAGGGACAAACACCTGGAGCCAGAAGCTTAAAACTCTGTGTAGATTAAAATGATTAAAATTGTGTTTTCACATAAATGCATAAATTTGTATATGTATTCTTTACCTCAGACTTATAAAGCCGTGTGTATGCCTGATTTTGTTTTATAAATCTTGATCATTGTGATGCTGAACACACAAGCCTAATTTCCACACCCACAGTTCACCATAAATGGATGTAGAAATGCCTTTAAACATCAGTTTTCATATTGATACTTGTGCCCCTCCACCACTCATCAGACCTGTTAATGAGAAATATGGTAAGAAAGAAAGTGCAATTTCACCGACCTGTCTCACATTGGTGGGGTTTTTCTTCTTCAACCCTTAGATGCATGACCTACCGATACCTACACTCTTCCATGAGTGGGGTCAAAAATGACCCCAATTAGAATCAATGCATTTTATGCTGTAAACTTAAAGCTCCAGTAGGCAACATTGTTTTGGTATAATTGAGTAAAAATTTTATAATTATCCTCTAAGCATAATGTAAATCAAGTGGTCTGAGACAAACAATAGGTTTCTGCACCTCACCATGGCTCTGTGTTCAGCCTCTAAAGAATCAGTATCGTGCCGATGCGCATCAACTAATCAAAGGTCAGCTCAGACCACTGTGTTCCTATTGGCTGTTCTACTGCATATGCGCGTTCCCGTGCCGCCGGCAGAAGAGGAGAGCAAGCGGCAATGGCAAACAGTGCACCAGGTAAAATAGCTATTCCAGCATTGGCCACAACTGCCTACACAGCTAAACAGCCCAAAAAAAGGAAGACAGAACTTGGTTCCCCGGAGCCCCGGAGGGAGGGGAAGGGTGAGGTGGGGCCGGGCCCGGCCGGAGGGTACGAGGGTCGGCCGTGGGAGCGGAGCCGAGGGCTCTCCGCGGAGAGGGAGAGCTGAGCCGAGGGGGTATGTGCGGGGCGGGCTGCTGCGCAGTGAGGGAGAGCCGAGGCTCAGGAGTATGTGCGGGGCCACGAGGGAGGGATGGGGAGGGCTGCTGCATGGTGAGGGAGAGCCGAGGCTCCCAGAGAGGGAGAAATAGAACCAAGTAGGATAAAATACTCGCGTGCTCGTCTGGTAGGAGGGGCTTAGGGCGGAGACGAACACAACCTAACTCAGATGAGACTCAAAAATCAACCGTTTTCAGGCTTTCTACCTACTGCAGCTTTAAGAAATTTCTTTCATTTTGGTTAAAGATGATAATTTTTATTATATTTTGATCAACAAAATAATTATGTCATGTTTGACATGTTCATTTATCACTTTTTATTAACATTTTATCACAAAACAGCTTTTAGAAAAATCAAAAAAGGTAAACATCCAAATTGATCCCAATTCGAATCAACACATTTAATACAATATTTCTTCATTTTGGTTTTGAAATGATGATTCTTATTATATTTTGGTCAACAATGATTTCATGTTTTACATGTTCATTTATCAACTTCTTTCATTTGATCACAAAAAAACCTTAACATTCATTGTTTGTGTGTCCGTCTGTCTGTGTATGCACGTCCACACACATGAACACACATGCGCGTCTTCTCTCTTCTCACTGTGAGCAGCTGTTACAAACTACTTGTGTCTGGCTGTGGAGCACTGCACACGGGGTCACTGCATTTCCAATAACTATTGCTGGCTTTGTTTCTTGGACACATCTTACACCTCTTTCTCTTCTGTTGGTCCTGTCTGCTTCTCTCCTGTGGCTGGATTGTAGCTTTTGTCATTCCACACCTTCCCATTGCTTCAGTGATGTAGGTTGGTAGGCATGGGATACCTTCCAGTCGACTTCTCATGTAAGGTGTCACAAGCTCATTTGAGAGCTCTGTGAGAAAGTGCCGCCATGCGCAGGTGATACCTGTGTAGAATTCTGGGTGCTGAGCTTTGAAAATGTCTACAAATTACTACTTTGTAGTGACCTCCTCCCATTACTACTTTGTGTTGGCGCAGCGCAGCTGCGCTTCGCTAACTGGGTGTGGCCAGGCGGATTTTGCAAGTTTGGCACAGCATGCGCGCTGGCGCAACTACTCCTCTTTCCCACTTCCGTCCCTCCTACCCGCGCAAGTCGGAAAGAGGG